TTCAGATTTTTGAACTTTTATCGGGAAAGATGAAAAGATTAAGTCTAGAGTGTTCTTGCTACTGTTTAAGAGAGTATTGTATTGAGAAAGGCCTATGAAAGAACAACAAGATATAAGATCAGATGCTGCAGTTTGAACTTCGACTGATCCTTTCCTACGTACAACTGGGTCTCCAGAAGTCCAGTCAATACATGGTAAATTAAAATCTGGAACAATTTTATAGTCATTTGGGTATTTATCACGAACAGCTAACAGTGTGTTAATGAGATCTTTTATGCGCGAAGATATTTGATGATTAGGTGGTATACAAACTACCGAAATGTGTATGTCATATGAAGAGCCAATGTTACTTCCTGGAATGGTAATCCAAATGCATTCCAGATCGGTATTATTCCATTCTGGTCTCATGCGCGCGTGTAGCTTTGATTTACAAAGTAACATTACACCACCTCCTAATGATCCTCGATTCCTACGAAAAATTTTATAATTATCGTCACTTAGTTCTGCGTCCAAAATACCATCACATAACCATGTTTCAGAAATCATAACTACATCGATCTCAGACAGTAACAGATTATTATAAAACGTATAAGTCTTTGTTCGTAGCCCTCTGTTTTGATAAAGCAATGTAAGGTTGTTACTATTTTTACTATTTTCATCCATTTTTGACAAGGTAGTAGTGGTGAAATCGATAACCGTACACTCTATAAAATGTTAAATATTTAAAGGAAAAATAAACTATTATTTTTAAGCTAAAGTTATTAATTAATATAGATAGATATTCGCAAACCTTAATGGTCAATGTATAACTATAAGTTAAACCGTAGTTTTTAATAGCATTTAAATGTGGCACTACGAGAATTTGCTTCGGTTTAAAATAGGAGTGTAGTTCACATGGAAAGGATATACTTGTGAGGTACTCTTGCACTGCATAATCAATAAGTGTGTAAATAGAGTTGAGTGTAGAGAAGTGTAAAAATATTTTATGTAAGTGTAAGGGAGGATTATTGCATTTGACATTGAAAGGTGAGTAATTATTAAATATCAAACAGTGTTTTACATTATTTTGGATATATCGGTTGATGAGGATATTGGAATAGGGGATGAGGCCTCGTCCTTTCTATATCTTCGAACGAAGATACGGCAGTTTTTTGTCCAAACAAATTTATAATTTATCTCCTTGGCTTTTTGTTTGCATGTATTTAAAAGAATTTTATTTTCTTTTGTAAGGTGCTCATTGATATAAACTCTGTTAGTCTCATCACCCATTCCCAAATCCTTAGCATTCAGAGTACGATACTTGCGACCCGCTGCTATCAGTTTCTCTTTGACGGCACGGTGTCTTAGATGCACGACAATGGGGCGTGCGCGGGCAGCATTCACAGCGCGCCGAGGTTGGACCCGGTGTGCGAAATCGATATCAGTCTGCTGAAAAGGAGCCCCAATATGCTGCGAGAGTTTCAATACGATTTGTTTAGTATCTTCGGCCTTATTCTCAGGAATCCCTGTTATCTCTATATTCTGCATTCGTGTCCACTGTTGTTGTCTCAAGTTTTCGTCTTCCAATGCTTTAATCCTTGCTGCTTGTGCAGTGACACTATTTTTTAGACTTTTATTTTCTTCTCTTATAGATTTCAATTCAGAAGTGGTCGTTGCAAGCAGCTTTTCTAGTTCTACGAGCTCTTTGCGAAAATCCTCATATTGCCCACTAATAAACATTGAAGACTCCTGATATCCGGAACACTGGTTTTTTATTGTGGTTAACTGATCTGATAATTCCTTCAGGCTTGATTGAATAACAATTCTTAATTCTTGGCTTTCAGCCTCCATGACATCCTTCAACTTTTTTTCCGTTATGTAGTCAAAGGTTAAATCAGATTTTTTACGCAACGTTACATTCAAGTTATCTGCGTTATCGAGAACTGCCGACTCTGTCTGGTGCGATGGGCGTATAGGTGTGTTTGTGTTATCCTTCTTAGGTATTTTACTTTTACATTCCAGGCATCTCCAATTACGCTTATTCTCATCATTTAACGCTCTATAGCGCTGTGGTGAGATATTAGCGCATTGAAGGTCATACTTCTGTTTACAACCAAGGCAGGTCATGTATCTTTTATCAGATATTAATGCTCTGCAAGCTCCACAGAATTGTTTATCCATTTTAGGCGCAATAGAACACTCTAAAAACAACTTTTAAAATTTTCTAGAAAAAGTTTGTTAACTAGTATGTGCTAATTATTTTATCCAGGCGCTAAAAGATTAGCAAGTAAATATTGCCGTACTACGTCACAGCGAGCGAATTGCGAGTTGTGGTAGGTCCGGGAGATTGAAGATATAAGATTTTATAAATATTAAAATGCTTCTTACTCCACAATTTCTTGATGTTTTATTGTAGTAATTACACAGACACAATCACCGTCATATAAGGTTCACACACGTATGTACTAGTCGCAATGTTTCGCACTATAAACAGATATTTTGAATTTTAAATAGCCACAAAATTCAAACGATGTTTTATCTTCAACTGCCCTCGTTCGTAGTGATAAGTGTGCGGCCCTCCATGTTGAAAGGGGAAGGGTTGCTAACTCTGAGAGCATAGACTTATCTATGCCCATCAACTTAAGGACCCTTTCCGAGGCTGAAACATACTGATACCTGGATGTGTCATAGAAAATCGGAGTCAATGAGGCTGGTATGAAACAGTCAACTTGCGACGTGTTTTATGCTCGCTTGACCAAAGTACTCAACAGCCTTTAGTCTGGTGTGAATAAGACACACGCATATAACGGTTGGGTCATGCCTGTCCTCATGTATACCTTTGGCATACTCAGATGGTCTCAGACTGAACTTTACGCCCTGGATAGAAAAGTCCGCACTACTATGACGTCCCATAGGATGCATCATCGGAGATCGTCGGTATTGAGGCTGTACTTGTCGCGAAAGCATGGTGGGCATGGCTTTTTGAGCGTGCTCTCCATGCATAATCGCGAAGAGAACAGCCTCCGTAATTACTTCCTGGCGAGATCGGATGATCCATTCTATAAGGACGTCATTTTTGTGATAAAGGACTTACCCCTCTATTCTTAGCCAACGAGCAATGGTAAGACCCGGCAGTGCAGAGCATTTTCGACCGGGAGACCGTATGGAAGGAGAAGGAGCTCCACAGGAGGTTCTGCAAAGCTCTACATGAGCCTTTCGTAGACACCATAGACTCCCTCCACTGGCTACGCTTTGGTGACTTCTTCTGGGAAACCGAGGGTTTGTCTGTGCAATACAGGATCAGATTATTAAGACCAACAACTATCGGAGATACGTCCTAAAGGATGGCACCGTCGACATCTGTCGAGCTTGTCGCCATCTCGGTGACTTAGGCATATCATGTTTTCATGTGTTCAGCGCTTTATAACTCTGAGCACTTGCACGGGCACAACCTAGTATCCGGAATTCTAACCAGGAGCTCGCTCTGAAATACGGTCTCGTGGACCGGAAATTGTCGTATTACAAATACTTTCTGGAAGCTCTACTGGGACCGGTCCATCATCACAGACAGGACTATTCTTGCGAATAAGCCTGATATTGTGCTGATGGACTGGGTACAGTCAAGGATATTTTTGGTCAACATTAACATCTGTATGACGAGAACCTCGTGAAAGCCGAATCAGATAAGCGAACAAAATATCTGGACCTGACTCACGAGGTGACGGATATGTAGGGTGGTCTGCCGACTGAAATTATTCCTGTACTCGTTTCTGCAAACGGGCTTATCCCAGTCAGCCTCTCGGGTCATCTGAGGTGGCTGGGAATCCGTGACGGACCGCTCCAGGCTCAAATGCAGAAGGCGGTGCTCCTCGATACCGCTCGCATTGTCCACCGGTTTCTTTCCCTTTCCCTCTAACCCTCGGTCGTTTGGTCTCCATCTGGTTGCGCTTTTATTTACCTATGTATTATTTATTTATTTATGTTGGTATATGAAATATATGCTTTTGTAAATTTATCATTTCATTTTATATATTTATTCAACCCAACCAGATGAGAACACACTACTAATACCCCACAATAATGATAATAAATCAATAATAATTTATAATTTATATTTGTAGTAATTTATAATAATTAAAATTATAAAAAACATTATTTATTTATTAATTAATAATAATAATTTCATTGTTTTCTTTTTTTTCTTTGAATGATATAATCTTTTCAAACTGGTGCATAACATGCGACTTTTATTGAGACAATTTAGCGATAGCAGCTCTTCACTTTTTTTGTACATATTTCTGGGGCACTATTTTCTACAGCGATCATTCTCCTGTTCTCTAACCTCCATGATCCCTGCCATGGAGTATAGTGATAAGGAGGACAATCTCCCATAGGAAAATAGTTGAAAATATATCCATCTGTAAGCAGTAAATAACAGTTCAAAAACTCTCCACAACAGCGCTCGAGTAGCTGCAGGGTATGATAAATCGCTGTTAAATACGTAAAGAGTGGTTTTGAAAATAAAAATTTTGAAAGCAGTAAAATAATTATTGTAAAAGAATTATGGTGAAAGTCTGTGCAATAAAAAAAATTATAAAAAGTTCTTTAAAATTTAGACCGTAGCTACAGTGGCGCCAACCTTATTTAGCGCTTTCCTACGGACAAATTTTTTATACAGAGTCTGTACTCTACACTCCATAGTCCCAGCCATGGAGGCTAGAGAACAGGAGAACGATCGCTACGTCCTAAAGCATAGCCCGCCTGTCTCTGAAAATTTGTAGAATTTATAGCCGCGCTGCCATCGTCGGTAAGTACCTAGTATCTGCGAAGTATTTTTTAATTATTGACAAAAAGAAACATTATAAAATGGTGAAATATTATTAAAATAATTATATATAGGTTTATAATATTTCAAATTATAAAGACATAATTTATTTTTTAATAAATAATAATAATAATAAATTATAATAATGACAAAACCACTACGTCAGCGCAGTCAGTCAGCACCTTGCCAAGAGGTGTTAGTGCCGTGCCTCGGCAAAAATTGAAGGTGCAAAGGCCCGCTTGTGCACATGGCTCCACCATGAAACTGCACCGGGTCTGGGCGGAGGCGCTGGACGCGACAGCATGCGAACCGCCAGCCGAACGAGAGGTGCTGCACGGCCACCCATCAGTCGCTCGCATCCATTATCCCCACCAGCTGGCTTGGTGTCGGCAGGGTCTTCGCGGGTCCTGCAATCGGCACCCGCCACTGGTGGAGTACGCAGCATGCGATGGACAATCAAAATGAATACTAACGAATTGCGGGCGTATTTTAGGGCGAAAGGGGGAGAAGTTGGAGGTTTGGCATATCGGGCTAGGATGCATCGTCTTTTTGTTGAGCTGGAGCCATCCTTAACCGTCACAGAGCAAAACCTGGCAGACCGAGTTCGATATCTCTTGCGCTCAAATATATTTGATGTCGCCTAACTCGAACGGCTACGACGTGAGGCTGTTCCGTCATTGGATGAAAATGCTACGGCTAAGGATGCGGCGCCACAAATTGCAGCACAACCTGCAAACGTGGATGCCGCCGTCAACACCCTGTTGTGGTTGATTCAAACAATGATGGAATAGTCGCCCAGGAACTGGAATTAGAGCATATGAGGAGTACATTGGAAGAGGCGATTGTGGAAACGCGTAGTACGCCTCTCGAAAATCGACCGCGACTTCCCCGCATAGCCCTAAGCAAGCGGAATCGGGCTGTCGTGAGGGCTCTAAACCCAATGCTGGTAACCTATTTGGAAGCCAGCCGGGACCTTTGCGAGACTAACTCAATTCTTTTTGGCGCAGCACTGGCAATATGCCGTATTATAGGCGCCAAACTTTCCACGGCTGGACGCGCTACTGGACAAAGTAGCGCTATCCCAGCCTGGAGAATAAGAATTGAAGAACGTATCGCAAAGGCTAGGGTCCTCATCGGCGGACTGGTATGCTTCAGGTCAGGCAACAACAGGCCGAGGATTGTGCGCATCGTCAGGATGGCATTTGCTGGGACAAATGTCAGTTTGTCCCAGCCGGATATAATGCAAAAACTTACGAAGCGCATAGACCACCTGAAGCAGAGAATCGCTGCTTGGGGAAAGCGGATTCGGCGATATACCGAGAGGTAGACACGGTTTAACCAGAATCGTCTCTTCCAGAGTGATCAGAAGAGGCTCTATAAATCATTGGAACGACCAATGGTAAGTGGAACGGGCTCAGCACCGAATCAGACCGACACTGTCGCATTCTGGCGCGGCCTGTGGTCAGAGCCCGTAAACCACAGCGAGGACCCTTGGACGGAAGTTGTGGCGGGTCAGTGTGCGAGTATTACGCCCATGGACCCCGTCATCATAACGCCGGATGACGTAGCTGAGGTGGTCCGTAGAGCCCCGTACTGGAAAAGTCCGGGACTCGACGGGCTGCATCACTACTGGCTTAAGGGGTTCATGGTGTGTCACGCTGTGCTCGCCCGTCAGTTTCAAGAGGCTCTCAACCAGAAGTCGCTCCCTAGCCTCTTCACTACTGGGATCATTCATTTGGTTCCTAAAGACCAGGTTACCACAGACCCGAGCAAATGCCGCCCCTTCACGTGTCTACCGACCATATACAAGACACTAACATCCATTTTGAGCGCGAGAATTACTCGTCACCTGGACTCAAATCAGGTGGCGGCGAAACTGGAACAAGTCTGACGGGAGGAATCTCCTGGACAGGACTTCGGTTCCCCATCATGGAGGCAGCTAAATTACTTACAGACTTCCTCGAGCAGTGTATGGGGCAGTGGAGTACGATCCTCTGTCATCTAGGCGAGCGGATGACAGCTGCGGAAAGCCGCATAAGGATAAGAAGGGGTATATTCCAGGGCGACTGTCTGAGTCCAATCTGGTTCTGCCTCTCTTTGAACCCTTTCAGTACTTTACTGGAGGGCTCCGGGAGGGCATTTCAGCTTCGGAAAGGAGGTACAAAATTGACCCACCTTTTCTATATGGATGACCTCAAATTATTCGCCTCCAGTCGCTCCTATCTTATGGAATTGCTAAACATCACCTGTGAATTAGGCAATTCTATTAGAATGGAGCTGGGGACGGTTAAGTGTGCGGTCCTCCATGTTGAAAGGGGAAGGGTTGCTAACTCTGAGGGCATAGACTTATCTATGCCCGTCAACTTAAGGACTCTTTCCGAGGCTGAAACATACCGATACCAGGGTATGTCACAGAACATCGGTATTGATGAGGCTGGTATGAATCAGTCAGTTTACGACGTGTTTTATGCACGCTTGACCAAAGTGCTTAACAGCCTTTTGTCCGGTGTGAATAAGACACACGCATGTAACGGCTGGGTCATGCCTGTCCTCATGTATACCTTTGACATACTCAGGTGGAGTCAGACTGAACTTAACGCCCTGGATAGAAAAGTCCGCACTACTATGACGTCCCATAGGATGCATCATCCGAGATCGTCGGTAATGAGGCTGTACTTGCCGCGAAAGCATGGTGGTCGTGGCTTCCTGAGCGCGCTCATCATGCATAATAGCGAAGTGTGCAGCCTCCGTCATTACTTCCTGACGAGATCGGATGATCCATTCTATAAGGACGTCATTTCTAGTGATAAAGGACTTACCTCTCTATCCTTAGCCAACGAGCAATGGCAAGACCCGGCAGTACAGAGCATTTCAGACCCGGAGACCGTATGGAAGGAGAAGGAGCTCCACGGGAGGTACTACAGGGCTTTACATGAGCCCCACGTAGATACAGCCGCCTCCCTTAACTGGCTACGTTTCGGTGACCTCTTCGGGGGAACCAAGGGTTTTGTTTGTGCAATACAGGATCAGGTTATTAAGACCAATAACTATCGGAGATACATCCTAAAGGATGGCACTGTCGACGTCTGTCGAGCTTGTCGCCATCCCGGGGAGTCACTTAGGCATGTCATCTCCGGTTGTTCGGCGCTTTCTAACTCTGAGTACTTGCACAGACACAACCTAGTAGCCAGAATTCTACACCAGGAGCTTGCTCTGAAATACGGCCTCGTGGATCGGAAATTGCCGTATTATAAGTATTGATCATGAAAATGATCGCGCCAGGCTTTTTTGGGACCGAGCCATCATGACAGACAGGACTATTCTTGCGAATAAGCCTGATATTGTGCTGATGGACCGGGCACAGTCAAGGATATTTTTGGTCTACATTACCATTCCGTATGACGAGAATCTCGTGAAAGCCGAAACAGATAAGCAAACAAAATACCTAGACCTGGCTCACGAGGTGACCGACATGTGGGGTGGACTGCGGACCGAAATTATTCCTGTAGTCGTCTCTGCAAACGGGCTAATCCCAGTCAGCCTCTCGGATCATCTGAGGCGGCTGGGACTACGTGGCGGACCGCTCTAGGCTCAAATGCAGAAGGTGATGCTCCTCGATACAGCCCGCATCGTCCGCCGGTTTCTTTCCCTTTCCCCCTAACCCTCGGCCGTTTGGTCTCCCCTGCCGAGGGCTTCCATCTGGTTGGATCTTATTTATTTATGTATTTTTGTATTTATATTATTTTTGTATATTTATCTTTTCATTTTAATTTATAATTATATATTTATAGAACCCAACCAGATGAGAAAATTATATAGATACCCAAAAAAAAAATTATAATAATTTCGTTATTTTTATTTTTTTCTTTGAATGATATTATAATCATTTCAAACTAGCGCACAACAGCCCGCGTTTATTGAGACAACTTAGCAATCGCAACGCCTCACTTATTTTGTCCATATTTCTGGGACACTATTTTCTACAGCCACGGAGGTTAGAGAACATGAGAACGATCGCTACGTACTAAAATATAGCCCACCTGTCCTTGAAAATTTGTAGAATTTATAGCAGCGCTAACGTCGGTGAGTAGTGGCTGCGAAGTTAGCTGTTTATGAGTACAAGTAGATGAAGTTAGTTGAAAAATGTACAAATTTTCTATGCGGCATTGATGAGAAAATTTTAATGCTCCGTAATTTTTTAATTTTTGACAAAAAGAAACATTAAAAATAGAGAAATATTTTATTGTGCAAGTGGTTTAGCATCTGATCGGAAAAATAGACTGAAAATGACTTTTATTGACCGAAATTAGCGATCGCAGCGCCTCACTTATGGTGTCCATATTTCTGGGACACTATTTTCCACGCTGATCGTTCTCCTGTTCTCTACGGTGAACTCGTTGCTTTACGGCAGTTAGTGGGTGACTATAACAATTGATAGGCTATCAACTACAAACCGAAAACCACACCTCTAAAGACTGAGGAGAAACGTTACGCAGTATACCTACTGGCTCTTACTGTGATACCAGCAATGGGTACTCTGTCTTTTAAGACGAAATTTACTTAATTTCCCCTTAATTTCCTTAACGGTCCCCAAGACCAAAGGAGCTCCACAGCTTTATAACAAATTAAAATTGTTGTTGTCCAAGACTTGGGTTTATCGTGTATTAAAAATAAAATAAAGAAACAATAAATGTTTAAGCCGAGGTTGAACAAGTTGATTTTTCTTTCTACTAGAAAGCCGCGAGCTCGTTTTAATTCTTTAAAACGTTCAAAGGCGGCCTGTATTGTAGATGACTCCATCCTTCCTACATTTTTAGTAAAATACTATACTGGCAATTGTATCATTTCAATATACGTACTGAAACAGGATAGTGTTAATATTAGAAAAATTAATATTTAACTGTTTCGAGTACTGACCTTTGTAGTTATTTTTGGCTTTAACCAATTTTACAGTTATCCTACGAATAACGTGTAAAACGAATTGTGTAAAGCACAAAATGTGAGACGCGTTAGTTCAGTCGGGACAGGAGGTTAATATTTCTTCGTTTATTATTATTATTTTAAATAAAGTTTTTCCTTGTATTACATAAATTGAAATTCTCGTATACAACTTGTATACAATATTATTATATGTTATGTATCGTACTGATATCTTTAGAAGAGTAACATCCTTCATTTGTTTTTATTTATTACAAAGACAATAGCAGAAAGTGAGAAAGTTAAAAAATACTTTTTTAACAATGACAGTCATTAGCTGATAATCAGCGAATGTGATTCTGTTTACTTAAATTACAGGATGACAAGAGCAGAAGGAAGAGATGAGTGTGGCATACGTGTACAGAACACATCATTGAATAACAAAACTACAACACTGAGTGGAGAAGAAAACGAGAAGAATATGCAGTACTCAAGAGCTGAATATTCATTCTTCGATTCAAAATCTAGCCGGTTGCTCAGTTTCGAAAACTGGCTTCTCGTTATGCGACAGAAACCTGAAGATCTTGCAGAAGCCAGTTTCTTTTATACTGGCCATGCAGACAGGACCAAGTGTTTCCATTGTGGTGGTGGTTTAAAAGATTGGGAAGATGATGATGATCCTTGGCAGCAGCATGTTCAGTGGTTTAGTCAGTGTGCTTATGTAAAATTTAAACTCGAACAGAGTTTTGTATTCGATTAAATACAATATTTATAAAGAAATAAAAAATAATATATTGCATACAATTTGTTTTATTTAATTTTATAACGTTTCACATAGTTACATACACACAAAATGCATTACACATAACTCATAAAATCTAAACCACAACACATATAACCTTAACTACTATAGTCTACAGTAACATTTCTGTTTTTATCTATCTCAATAATATTATCAAACTCAGCATAAACTTTACAGTTAATTGTTTTTATTAGTGAGGATTCAAATCGTACTTCTAATCTTACACTACCATGCTTTATGAGATTCCAATGAGCTGATGAGTTGGCTGATAAATCAGGAGTTAAGTCAAATGCTAATAGACAGTAACCTTTGGCATACTGTTCACAAGAGATTCCATTTCCTTCGTTAAAAAAGTGAATACCAGTTCCCGAGAATAGAGTATGATATGCTGATGTGAATATACTATTATTAAAAGATGGTTGCAAAGCTTTTGAAGGTATTTGTTGACCATCAATATATAGGCTGAAAGAATTAATACCTTAATTTTTAAAGTTAAATGGATTTTTAGTAAGGGAACCATTAAATGCAGAATTGTTCACAAATCCAATTATACATCTTTTGGGTACCTGTCCTAAAAATATATTATCAAGAGTTTTTCCTTGAACACCCGATGGAATTGTTAAAAATTTTACTTCAGCTCGAGTAATAGGATATTTAGCAGTGGTAGAAGCTAAAACTTTTTGATGTGCGAGTATTACACTTGGATTAATTCATGCTCGTCGAACAATAAGAGTTGCATCCGTAATGAAAACTTTAAACTATACGTCGTTTGACCCAGCAATTAAATTAAAACTCTCTCTTGATCGAACCAATTTAACACTCATTTCAACACCATTAATTAAAAATTTATCTTGGTTGAAAATGTCACCGTGAAGATGACCAATCATTTCTATTTCCTTACTTTCACTAATCAATTCCTGTCTTTTAACAAATCCTATGTTTTTACCATCCGTAGAATTCATTTTTCCTGCTGTATCATCATACCAAAGACTACAAGTAAGATGAGATTGTTTAGCAGCAGGAGCATAGTTTAA